TTATCAAACTCTTTTTTTTTTTTTTTTTTTTTTTTTTTTTTTTTTTTTTTTAATTTTAATGGTAAACTTTGAGAATCAATTTCTCATTAACTCATTATCCATTTTTAGCGTATAATATATCAAATTCATCATCTCAAATAGAAAAAATCAAATCCACTTTGACTCTATAAAAATCAAAAGTGGACCCCATTGAAATCAATACTTTAAAACAATCACTTTTTTAACACTCAAAATGACTACTTAAAATGATAATTTTTGCTCTTTTTTTTCCCAACATTTACAACATATCTGTTAACATGTCTTAACTTTATTGAATTGTTAATTAGTTTGATTGGTGAAAGTAATCGTGCATTCTCATCTTTTTTGAAAGGTCGAGAGTTCAAAATCTCTTTTCGTCCCTTAATTGGCGGGCACCAACCTTGCGCAAGTGGGCTATACATGATCATTTTCCTTCTCCCCCACCCCCTCCTATTTTCTAACACAAACTCAACTTTAGTAATAAAACTTCTAGCTTTTTCCTTTCTCTTTATTCCAAATTAGCAAAAATTTCTTTAAACCCCAACAATAAACCCCAATGAGGTTGCTTTTATAAGGCTTAACGCAATAAGCTTTTGTGTATTTAAACTAAAAAGTCCATTCAAAATAGTTAAAGTTATCAAGTCACTTTTAAGTTGTGGGTCATTCAATCTTTCACAAGATAAATTATCTTATGTCATTCAATACATAACGCACAAATCATTTAATCTCATTTTTTATTTGAAATTAAGAGACAAAAATAACCGGTTATCATTAATCCCAAGATGGGTTGTTATAATTTTTCCTTTAACTTCTTCCAAATGTATATTTGATTATTTTGCCATATCTACATTTTTTTATGTATTAGGTTTACAATAATGGTTAGAATCTTGTTTGCACTAAATATGAATTGCATTTTGTTAAAGTTTTCTTTTGATGTCTGATAGAAAAAAAAATTATATTGCAAATAGAATACTAAAAATAAAAATGTTTGAATGAAAGTTTCAACAACTCTAATAGTGAGAAAGAAAAAAAAAAAAACTCCAGATAATTAACATAACAAACATGGAATATATTTTACAAAAAAATCGATATAAATTTAATCAAATAGTGAAAGTAGTAAATTTATGGGTTAATTCCACCAGAGGTCCCTTGTCTTTGGTGACAATTCTAAATTTAGTCACAGATTATCGTTTTTGCCATTTAACATCACAGACTATTATTTTTGGACATTTTTAGTCCTTTTCATGACTTTTTCTATTTTTAGTTAGAACATTTTTGTCTTTTCATATTTTTCTTTTGTTATTTTTCCAATTTCAATCGGTTTAATTGGTTTAAGACTTTACTAAAAACCGGTTGAAAAATATGGTTACTAAAAATCAGAGGTTACCTAAAGTTCTAAACCAATTAAACCAGTTGAAATCAGAAAAATAACCAAAAAAATAAATGAAGAGATAAAAATGCCCTTACTAAAAATAGGACAAATCATGAAAATGACTAAAAGTATCAAATAAACAATAGTTTGGGATGTTAAATAGCAAAAACGATAGTCAGAGACTAAATTTAGAATTGTAACAAAAAACAAGGACCTCAAATAGAATTAACTCTAAATTAATTAATGTACTTTAGAGAAAACTCATCTTTTACAATACACTCATACACATGGTTGCAGTAGGCGCTAGTCGGGCGGCCGGGCAGCGCCTAGTGCCTAGGCGGTCTAGGCGGCGCCTAGGCGGCGCTAGGCGGGCACCAAAAAAATTTAAAAAAATAGTTACAGACTTGTAGTTTGACAATTTTAATGAGGTTGTTTTCAACGTTCACTCAAATAACACATCAAAATAAATGAAATAATGATAATTTATAAGTCATAATGTCATAATAATATTAAAATCAATAATTAATGAAAGACGACATCGGTCAAAATCGGTCAAAATAAGACAAAAACGGTCAAAATCGGACGAAATCGGTCGACTCGGCCGAGTTGGCCGAGTTTGGCCGCCTAGCGGCCGCCTAGGCGGCCGGCCGAGTTTTGGCCGCCTTTAGGCCAAAACTCTAAGGCTCGGTGCCGCCTAGCGCCTAGGCGGCTAGGCGGCCGAGTTTTGCAACCTTGCTCATACAAAGAATTGTCTAATCCACTGTAGCAAAATATTAAGACAAAATTAAAATGAATTTGTACAACAAATACTCCCTCTCTTGTTAAAACCCTAACAAAGTACATATATAAGTGTGAATTAGCTCTAAATAAACTAACTATTCAAGAACAATGAAAATCAAATTTGTTGCTTATGATTAAAAATCACATGCCAAGGCCAATAAGATTTTAAGGTGTCTAATAATTGTAAAAGATATACCTAATTTAATCCTTTTATATAGAATCCAGAGTACCAAGAGTTGTAGGGGAAATAAGTTGTTAGGCAAACTCTTTTTTCTTCTACAATATAGAAACTAAATCTGGATCTCCAAAATAAAATATATACAAATTGTTTTGCCAATAAATAGTGGACCTAAAGCATCCACAATAGTCTAAAATTTTTGTGTATTTTTTTTTGTGCCAAATAGCAGTAAGAAGAGGGAGAAAAAAACAAAGAGAACAAAAAAAGGAAAGAGAATCTAACAATTTCTTTTTAAAGAAAGAAACAAACGGTCTTTTAGTCATAGTGGTCGCCAACCGGCAGCCACTCTGACGCGCCCCAGCCGGGAGCGAAGTGGGCTCAACTTGTGCAATTCTGACTTTTAAAAAAAAAAATTGACAAAAAATTAAGCTATATATCAGTTAAAAACCACATGTTGTATTTATTTATTTATTTATATGAAAAAACTTCAAAAATCCCACATATGTGGAGACATTAACACACTTTCAGTGCATCTAATATATTTTAACTTTTGTGTCACTCCAAATGACTCAAGTTACTTTAATATATATATATATATATATATATATATATATATATATATATATATATATAATTTACACTTCTTACTTACAAATTTTTAATTCATATTTTTATTATCCATACTAAGATTAGTAAATATATAAATACTAGTGATCTTAAAATATTTGAAACAAATTCAAACACTCGTAATTAATTTCATGCAAAGAGCCAAAGTCAATGTTGTGTGAGCATAACTTTATTTATAACATGTCAAACTCTTTCTCTCTCTCTCCCTCTCCCTCTCTGCATAAGAACGATAAATGAACTTGCTATTGATGTCGTAAGCAGCATTGAGACAATCTATATCAATAATCTTTAAGCGAAGACTGTTCGTCTTTGCACACGAGGACCTATGCAAGATGAGCATCTATATTGGCCGGGGATACTACAACACACCACTAAACGCTACCATAAATAATCAATTGCAGTTCTTTTTTTTTTTTTTTTTTCTTCTTCTTCTTTTTTTGACGGCCAACATCAATAATTTACCGGTAATTTAGGCTTATTTGACTCAAAATAACAAGTTCAAGTGTTTAATTAATTTTTTTTTTAAATTTAAAGACCTAATTGAATTTTTAAGTAAAATTTAAAGATCTATTTGACCACACATTTTCTCTAATTTTTATCTTTTTGTTATTTTTCTTTTATTATAACTTTCATTATTTGTGCATTTATTTCAAAAAATATACTATATTTTCTACAGAGTATTTATTAAATAAGATAAGACGTACAAACTACAAAGTAATAATCCAAAGAATAATAAAAGTCAAAAGAATAATAATAATAAGGAATAAGGGTCAAATAGGCCATCGAACTGCACACGAGAATGCAATTAGGCCACCGAACTTAAAAAACCTACAATTAGGTCCCTAAACTAACCAATTTCATTCAATTTGTCCATTTTACAGGTTTCTAACAGGTTACTCCTCCACCTAGGATGCATATGTGGCATTTTAAAAAAATTATTTATTTTTAAATTAATTTTTTAATATTTAATAAATAAAAACTAAAATAATTTTATTTTTTAAAATAAAATATTTTGTTAATTTCTTTAAAATTCACAAATCACAAATACAAACTAATTATTTTTAAAATTCGAAAATCACCAAATCACGATAGTTTCTATTAAATAATTTGTTGATTTTTTTATTTGTTCCTGGCCAAAGCATATTACAAAGGGAAATAAAGCAGTAAAAGCAATATATTAGAAAGCAGTAATACTATTAGTAAATGTATCATATTATTAAACAAAACCATAACTATTAGTATTAACAGTAATATAATTTATTGTTTTTTAAAAAAGAAGCAGTATTAGTATTATTAGCAATAAAGAATAATCAGTAAAGAAATAAAAAAAAATCAACAAACTATTTAATCAAAACTATCGTCATTGGTAATTTTTGAATTTTAAAATAATTAATTTGTATTGGTGATTTGCGAATTTTAACAAATTATTTTAGTTTTAACAAATTATTGTAACAAATTAACAAATTATTTTATTTAAAAAACAAATTATTTTAGTTTTTATTTATTAAATATTAAAAAACTAATTTAAAAATAAATAATTTTAAAAAAATGTCACATATGCATCCTAGGTGGATGGGTAATTAACCTTTTAGAAACTTAAGAAACCTGCAAAATTGACAAATTGAATGAAAATGGTTAGTTTAGGGACCTAATTGTAGGTTTTTTGGGTTCAGTGGCCTAATTGCATTCTCGTGTGCAGTTCGATGGCCTATTTGACCCTTATTCCTAATAATAATATATCAGAAACTGTGTGCTGTATCTAAATACAAAAAGAGTTTTAATACATGTATTTCTTAATTTTTCTCTCTAAATTTTTATTTTCTAATGTAACGGATAAATTATTTTTCTTTATGCGAGTCTCAATATAAATGTCTATAACAAAATTTTGTGTATAAAAGTACACATTAAAAGTACAAAATGGAATTTCATATAACATTTTCCATACAAAAAAAAGACCCCAAAAGAAGAAAAGCAGAAAGAACAAATCTTATCAATAAATCAATAATAATCAATCTCGAATCAGATCACCAGTACAGTCCAGCCCAACCCAGCCCAGCCCGAAGTCCGACAAAGGTATAGTATAGGGAGAAAAGAGACTAGACTATAGAGTCTAGACGACGGAGAAAAAGAGAGAACATAAACAGACGGTACGGATTCGCCCGGCACATTTTTAATACGGAGTAGTCGGTTATGGCCAAATCGGACGGAACGGCAGATAACACGCCGGAAAAGGAGGCACGTTGGGGCACGTGGGAGGAGCTGCTGTTAGCAGGCGCCGTCAACCGCCATGGCACCAAGAGTTGGGAATCTGTCGCCGACGAGCTCCAGAAACGGAGCTCCGTTCCGACGATGCTGCTATCGCCTGAGAGCTGTAGACTTAAATACCTTGACCTCAAGAGACGTTTCTCTTCTGGTGAAGTTAACGGTGTTGACGATGAGTGTGGCGAACGAACCGAGACTGCCGTACCTTTGCTGGAGGAGTTGCGGAAGCTCCGAGTCGCTGAACTGAGACGCGAAGTTGAGCGCTATGATCTCTCTATCGTGTAATTCGCATGTTCCTATATATACATAAAATTTGAAGATCTGAATGATGATAGCTTGGTTTTATCAGCAATTTTTGCTGGAAAATGAGAGATTTCTTTGATTGTGATCTAGGTCTCTGCAATTGAAGGTGAAGACACTGACGGAAGAGAGAGATCGGAGTCTGCGAGAGGATGAGAAATCAGATCCGGCGATGAGTGAGAATCAGGAAATCCGTTGTGTGGAGAAAAATGAAGGCGGCGTTGAGATTACCCCGGAATCGGACGCCGGAGAACCAGTAACCGGCGATAAGGACCAACAGTCCATGAATGAATCGAATTCCACGGATCAGAAAGACGCAAATGCACGAACCGGTACAAAAGACGACGGGAAACACTTGGAAGCTATACAAACCGGAAACGTAGAAGACGAACCGGATAAAGTAAAAGAGGGAAAACCGGGTCGAGAGGATTCATGTAACTGTAGCTCTAACAGCGTGGAAAAGGAACCGGTTCATGAGGTAGTGAAAACAGAACCGGTAACCGACTCGACTGAGTTATTGGAATCGGTAGCCGAGTCTAAGGGTAATGAGGAGGAGGGTACGAAAGAGAACTCTGATGTGCAGAGCTCGGCGAGTAAATCGAGGAAGACAGGGGATGCTGATAGGGCGAATCGGCGGAGTAGCAGCCGTGATGAGCGTGCAAACACGAACGAATCTCCAGCCGTAAAAGAAATGCCCGTCGAATTTCAACCGTTGATCAATTTTCTCGAAAAGATTGAAAGCAACAAGCACTACTCTTTATTCATGCGTCGGCTTGAGAGCCAGGTAAAGTAAAAATAATTTTGTCCTTGCTTTTTGGGTTGTTCAGTAATTACTAATCACGGTAAAGTTTTATTTTTTTTTGAGAGCTTCACGGTAAAGTTTTATTTTTTGTTGAGAGCTTCACGGTAAAGTTTTATTATTCAGTAATTACGGTAAAGCTAATGTGTTTACCGTAACTTAGACGTCATAGATTTTGTTTGTTTGTTTGTTTTTTTTTTTTTTTTTTTTTTTTTTTTTTTTTTAAATTAAGGTAAATATTCATAATTTAATTAATGGTTTTTAAACTATAATTATTTAAACAAAAACAATGAGGAAGAGTTAATGCGATAATGACTTTTAAACTATAATAAAATTGGTGCAATAATGTATGGTATCAAGATTATGACCAATGCAGTGACACTTGAAGCCCTTGCCCTTGGATTACGATAAGAGGTTGTTTGGTAGTTGGAAAATTAGCAAACTTTAAAATATGGAAAAGTTACTACTTGTGGGGTGCACTTTTAAAATTTTGGGTCTAGCAAAGTTATTACGGAGTACAAGTTAGACAAATTATGGTACCATTAAAAAAATACATTATTAATATATTAAAAGTATATCATTCGTGTATTAAATGTGTATTATGTAAAATAATGTAATTTCAGTATTTAAATAATATATTTTTCATAAATATATGTACATTTTTAATATACTAAAAGTACATTATTTGTGTATTATTTGTGTATTAAGTGTACATTATTTGATAGTATGGTCCACATAATAATGATTGTACAGGTTAAGTTAGGTGTGGCGGGAATTTTTTATTTTTCTTTTCGGGTGGATGAGAATGAGCAAAATTTATCTGATTATTGTTTTTTTTTTTTACCTTTATTGCCCTTTGATGTTTCTAAGTGACAAAAGTTTATTAGAGATTAAAGAAAATTAGCCAGATGGTTGAAATAACTAATTTATTTGTTATGTTTACAATGTAATATCATGTTTACTTATTTTCCCAACAAAGTTTTTCTCGGCACATACATTCCTACAATTTTAAATGTTTCTGCTTTTAGAAATGAATAAAATGTTATATTTTTTGTTTTTAAGAAATATAAAAAATTCCTCATTCATACATCATTAATGTGATTATTAATATTTCACTAGCTTTTGAGGCAATATGATGATTTTAGTAATCAGGTCATAAAAAATGGTAAAGTATGCAAGCAATGTCTAAAGTGTGACAGCTTACTTTCTTTGTCTATTATGTTAATGTTGGAGATTTCAAATCTCATGTGTCAGCATGTTGGATAATGATGATTTGGACATTCTTTTTTCGCCACCACAAAATGTCTTTATTTTACTTCAGCTACTACAGTATTCAACAGTACTAATAAATTGGGAAAGGGTGTGGGGGTTATACTTATTACTGCATTAGAGATGTAGACTTGTAACATCTTGATTCTTTAATTAAATATACAATATACAATATACTTGTCTATTTAATAAACTATCCACACACAAATTTTATATTGTTGCCTGACAGTTTAAGATATTCTTGCAGTGATATGCAACTCAATTTTAGTGAATGTTATTCTCAAATCAGTTTAGTCGTGTATATGGAATATATATGTCTCTCAATTCATTTCTCTTCAATACTACATTGATGATGGGTATATCGTATATCCAAGTATATGCTTCTACTACTACCACCTTGTTGGCATGTTATCACTCTTAAGGTGGAAAACTGGAAGTATAAGTTTATGCTGAACATGCCCATACATACCATTTTGCATAGGTCTTTGATGTGCTTTTAGTGATGTACTGGCAGCTAACTGCAATTTAATTGAAACATTTCAAGACAGATTCTACCAATTCCTTTTGGAGTTTGGACTGAACAGGATAGGGAATATGTTCATTTTCTTGTTCTTGTCCACTTGGATTAATAGATTAACTATTGTATACTGATATTTGGTGACTTTGTATCTAAATTATGATCCTTTTCTTTCTTTCTTTCTTTCTATTTTGGATTTGTTTATGAAAGTTAGAAGGAGAATCTGTCTTCCATGCTGCCTGAAATGGTGTTGCTGTTTAAATTTTGCAGGAAACAGAAGATTACAAGCTTTTAATTAGACAACATATTGATCTTGAAATGGTTCGAGCATGGGTTGAAGAAGGCAGATATCTAGTTTGCAAAGTAAAATTCTTTCGCGATTTACTTCTTCTTGCAAACAATGCCATCATCTTCTTCAGGAAGAACACATCAGAGTTCCTCGCAGCAATGGAGCTTCGGCAGCTTGTCTCCAATGAGTTGCCAAGAGCCAAGTTGTATTCCTCATCCGTGAAGCAGAAGTCTATTAAACTTGTATCATTGACGAAGGAAGAAAATTCTAAGCCCGCTGACTCTCTGCTTCTGAAGACAAAACAATCGGGGTCGTTGGTTGTTTGCCGTAAACGCAGTTCTATCACTCCAAAATCATCAGGATCTTCTTCTGGAGTTGATAAAAGGAGGGAACAAATAGCAAGAAGACCTGATCATAACCCAGTTACAAACTCAAAACAGCAGCCTTCCCAAACGGTCACCAATTCTGGGGAAAATAGAATCACAAAGAAGAGAACACGCGATAGATTCAGTTCAGCTTCCACAACCTCAAGGAGAAATGAAAAGAATTCCAGTACCACCATCCCTACCAAAAATTCAGCTCCAGTTGTAGAGAAACCCCAAGGAAAGCGAGAGCGAGATCCTTCTCCCCAGAATCACCAGTCTAAAAACGAGAATACTAATGACAAATCTAGCACGGACTTGAAGAAACGAAGTGCAGCAAATTTCTTGAATCGAATGAAACAAGGCTCTTCCTCAAACAGTGGATCACTCCTGGATGCATTAAAGAGCACCCCACTAAGTGGTGATAGCAAAGGAGGAGGATACGAGAAGAAGAGAAACGAAACTGGAAGAAAAGAGGCAGTGTCTTCAAAACCTCCTGAAGCAACACAGCAGACTAAGGAAAAGGGAAAGAGCAGTGGAAGAAAAGAGGCTGTGTCTTCAAAACCTCCTCCTGAAGCAACACAGCAGACTAAGGAAAAGGGCAGCCTGTCAAAGAAGAGCTCTGGTCGGCCCCCAAAGAGAGGTGCTGCTCCATCTCCTCAGTCAAGTAAACGAAATCTGGACGTAGATCACTCTGAGTCATTGGCTTCAAAACAACCAAAGAAGAGAGCAAGGAGGTGATATTCGGCAAAGGTATTTTGCTATGTTGAGTATTTAGTTGTTTTTCTTCCTTATCTTTAGTTAGGCTTAACTTTAAAAAAAAAATGAAGGGTTCAAAAAAGCAGAAATTCAGGAAAAGGTTGATATATACTGTTGGATAAGTATTTTCTTCTATTAACCAAAGCTATGAAAATTGGCAGCACTATTATTTTTGTCCACTTAATTATGCTGAGTTAGCATCAATCTTCGTCATTGCTATTCTCGCTACGCTAACAAAAATCTCCTCACAGGACAGCTTTGCACATCATATTTTGCAACATACAAAATGCAATTTCTTTCATGTTACATACGCATTGATTTATTTATATTTTATCAATATATAACGCATCTTAATTTGACTTTTTACTGGGGAAGTGATGAGTATTGTTCAAAGTGGTGGTGACTGCTGAGTAGTACTGCGGAGTTTTAATGGTAAATTTTAGATGAAAATGATAATTAACTATTAAGAATATTTTTCTGATAATATATACACATAATTTTAATAAATTAATGAAAAAAAAAAAAAAAAAAACACTCTAGTTGAAGGTGTTTGGAAGGATTGTCTCCTACCATCCAGGTGTGCCTTTTAACTAACTAGAGTTTCTAAGAGCAATCTCAACAATTGAGATTTTTTTTTTCTCATTCACTATCTCACTCAATCTAAATAACATTTCTTTCTAATAGTTTGAATTTTTTTTGAACCCAACAAAATTTATAAAAATCATATTTTAATTACGGAGTATTTGTTTATTTATTATCATTATCATTCTAAACATTATTATTGTAAATATAATTATAATTATTTATATTTAAATTGAACATGTCAGAATTTAATTTAATTAATAATTTTAAAATTTCCATTTAAATAATATGTTATTAAATTATATATTACATTTAAGAGTACATTGCATAATTTTTTAAAAAAAAATAATAATCAAACTAAATAAGAAAATTGTTTTTAAAAAATAAAAAAAAAGGCCAGCATAAAATCTAATATAAATAAATAAATAAATAAATAAATATATATATATATATATATATATATATATATATATATATATATATATATATACATACAATTTACATACAATATTAATAAAAGCAAATAATGTTAGGCCCTTAACTGAAATGAAAAAAATGTCTGTACTAATTGTTTCTTAAAATGAATGGTTCATATTATTTTGATTTTAGTATTTTTAATGATTTTCCTTATTTACCATTTATTATAATATTTTCTTTCCTTAAATAACCTTAAATTCCATTAGTATAAACGTTATTAACGGAATATTCCGTTAACTATTTATTATTCTTAAATACTTATTAATTTCTATAAGAAAGGTCTTAAGTCCGAACCTCATTCCAATTAGAGTTAATATAATTGTTAAACATATACTACGAATATGTTAAAATATATTAAAAATATAATATAAAGTTTAACATAAATTTTAGTCAAATAATTAGCCCGACAAAATACATAGCATTTAATGATTATAAATCAGAAACTTTGAAAATCATTTGATTTTTTTCATTAAAAAAATAATAAATTTAAGCTTTGTTTTTTGTTTTTTTTTTCGTTTAATTAATCTTCTTTTCGTTTGATAATTTTTAAAATGATTTTGGAAGTAAGGGAGAGTAGTTTGATAATTTTGAAAATGATTTTGGAAGGTAAAGAGAATAGTTTGATAATTTTGAAAATGATTTTGGAAGGTAAAGAGAGTAGTTTGGTAATTTTGAAAATAATTTTTGAAGCTAAAGAGAGTAATTTGGTAATTTTGAAAATGATTTTTGAAGCTAAAGAGAGTAGTTTGGTAATTTTGAAAATGAATTTTGAAGCAAAAGAGAGTAGTTTGGTAATTTTGAAAATGATTTTTGAAGCTAAAGAGAGTTGTTAGGTAATTTTGAAAATGATTTTTGAAGCTAAAGAGAGTAGTTTGGTAATTTTGAAAATGATTTATGAAGCTAAAGAGAGTAGTTTGGTAATTTTGAAAATGATTTTGGAAGCTAAAGAGAGTAGTTTGATAATTTTGAAAATAATTTTGGAAGCTAAACAGAGCAGTTTGATAATTTTGAAAATGATTTTGGAAGGTAAAGAGAGTAATTTGATAATTTTGAAAATTATTTTGGAAGGTAAAGAGAGTAATTTGATAATTTTGAAAATGATTTTGGAAGCTAAAGAGAGTAATTTGATAATTTTGAAAATGATTTTGGAAGCTAATAGTTTGATAATTTTGAAAATGATTTTGGAAGCTAAAGAGAGTAATTAGATAATTTTGTAAATGATTTTGGAAGCTAATAGTTTGATAATTTTGAAAATGATTTTGGAAGTTAAAAGAGAGTAGTGTGACAATTTTGAAAATGATTTTGGAAGCTAAAGAGAGTAGTTTGATAATTTTGAAAATGATTTTAGAAGGTAAAGAGAGTAGTTTGATAATTTTGAAAATGATTTTTGAAGCAAAAGAGAGTAGGTTGATAATTTTGAAAATAATTTTTGAAGCAAAAAAGAGTAGTTTGGTAATTTTGAAAATGATTTTTGAAGCAAAAGAGAGTAGTTTGGTAATTTTGAAAATGATTTTTGAAGCAAAAGAGAGTAGTTTGGTAATTTTGAAAATGAATTTGGAAGCTAAATAGAGTAGTTTGATAATTTTGAAAACGATTTTGGAAGGTAAAGAGAGTAGTTTAGTAATTTCGAAAATGAATTTTGAAGGTAAAGAGAGTAGTTTGGAAATTTCGAAAATGATTTTGGAAGCTAAAGAGAGTAGTTTGGAAATTTCGAAAATGATTTTGGAAGCTAAAGAGAGTAGTTTGATAATTTCGAAAATGATTTTTGAGCCTAAAGAGTATACTTTGATAATTTTGAAAATGATTTTGGAAGCTAAAGAGAGTAGATTGTAAATTTTGAAAATGATTTTGGAAGCTAAAGAGAGTAGTATGATAATTTTGAAAATGATTTTTGAATAAAACGAGAGAAGTTTGATAATTTTTAAAACGATTTTGGAAGCTAAAGAGAGTAGTTTGATAATTTTGAAAATGATTTTGGAAGCTAAAGAGAGTAGTTTGATAATTTTGAAAATGATTTTAGAAGGTAAAGAGAGTTTGGTAATTTTGAAAATGATTTTTGAAGCAAAAGAGAGTAGGTTGGTAATTTTGAAAATTATTTTTGAAGCAAAAGAGAGTAGTTTGGTAATTTTGAAACTGATTTTTGAAGCTAAAGAGAGTTGTTTGGTAATTTTGAAAATGAATTTTGAAGCTAAAGAGAGTAGTTTGGTAATTTTGAAAATGATTTTTGAATCTAAAGAGAGTTGTTTTGTAATTTTGAAAATGATTTTTTAAGCTAAAGAGAGTAGTTTGGTAATTTTGAAAACGATTTTGGAAGCAAAATAGAGTAGTTTGGTAATTTTGAAAATGATTTTTGAAGCAAAAGAGAGTAGTTTGGTTATTTTGAAAATGATTTTTGAAGCTAAAGAGAGTAGTTTTGTAATTTTCAAAATGATTTTTGAAGCAAAAGAGAGTAGTTTGGTAATTTTGAAAATGATTTTTAAAGCTAAAGTGAGTTGTTTGGTAATTCTTAAAATGATTTTTGAAGCTAAAGAGAGTTGTTTAGTAATTTTGAAAATAATTTTGGAAGGTAAAGAGGGCAGTTTGATAATTTTAAAAATGATTTTGGAAGGTAAAGAGAGCATTTTGATAATTTTGAAAATGATTTTGGAAGGTAAAGAGAGCAGTTTGATAATTTTGAAAATGATTTTGGAAGGTAAAGAGAATAGGTTGATAATTTTGAAAATGATTTTGGAAGGTAAAGAGAGTAGTTTGATAATTTTGAAAATGATTTTGGAAGCTAATAGTTTGATAATTTTGAAAATGATTTTGGAAGCTAAAGAGAGTAGTTTGGTAATTTTGAAAATGATTTTGGAAGCTAAAGAGAGTAGTTTGATAATTTTGAAAATGATTTTGGAAGTTAAAGAGAGTAGTTTGATAATTTTTAAAATGATTTTTGAAGCAAAAGAGAGTAATTTGGAAATTTTGAAAATGATTTTTGAAGGTAAAGAGAGTAGTTTGGTAATTTTGAAAATGATTTTGGAAGCTAAAGAGAGTAGTTTCGTAATTTTGAAAATAATTTTTGAAGCTAAAGAGAGTAGTTTAATAATTTTGAAAATGATTTTGGAAGGTAAAGAGAGCAGTTTGATAATTTTGGAAGCTAAAGAGAGTATTTTGATAATTTTGAAAATGATTTTGGAAGCTTATAGTTTGATAATTTTGAAAATGATTTTGGAAGCTAATAGTTTGATAATTTTGAAAATGATTTTGGAAGCTAAAGAGAGTAGTTTTATAACTTTTAAAATGATTTTGGAAGGTAAAGAGAGTAGTTTGATAATTTTGAAAAGGATTTTGGAAGGTAAATCGAGTAGTTTGATAATTTTGAAAATGTTTTTGAAGCAAAAGCGAGTAGTTTGGTAATTTTGAAAATGATTTTGGAAGCTAAAGAGAGTAGTTTGGTAATTTTGAAAATGATTTTGGAAGCTAAAGAAAGTAGTTTGATAATTTTGATAATGATTTTGGAAGCTAAAGAGAGTAGTTTGATAATTTCGAAAATGATTTTGGAAGGTAAATAGAGTAGTTTGGTAATTTCGAAAATGATTTTGGAAGGTAAAGAGAGTAGTTTGGTAATTTCGAAAATGATTATGGAAGATCAAGAGAGTAGTTTGATAATTTCGAAAATGATTTTTGAACCTAAAGAGAGTAGTTTAATAATTTTGAAAATGATTTTGGAAGCTAAAGAGAGTAGATTGAAAATTTTGAAAATAATTTTGGAAGCTAAAGAGAGTAGTATGATAATTTTGATAATGATTTTTGAATCAAAAGAGAGTAGTTTGATAATTTTAAAAATGATTTTGGAAGCTAAAGCTCAAGTTTGATAATTTTGAAAATGATTTTGGAAGTAAGGGAGAGTAGTTTGGTAATTTTGAAAATGATTTTTTAAGCTAAAGTGAGTTGTTTGGTAATTTTGAAAATGATTTTTGAAGCTAAAGAGAGTTGTTTAGTAATTTTGAAAATAATTTTGGATGGTAAAGTGAGAAGTTTGATAATTTTAAAAATGATTTTGGAAGGTAAAGAGAGCAGTTTGATAATTTTGAAAATGATTTTTGAAGCAAAAGCGAGTAGTTTGGTAATTTTGAAAATG